GTTGGTCATGTTGGTATAATTCCAGCCTCCATAGCATGCCAAAAAAACGTGGGGGTTGGGGGGGGGGTCTTTAGGGGGTCTTTGGGGCTTTTATGTGCTATTTTCTGATTGCATATAGACAGCATAGCCGGCCTGGTTTAATTACCCCCGTTTTTAGAACAGAATCAGAAAACAGCCGAAAACCACCAAACCCTTAGTTCTATAAGCCTGCTACGGAGGCTAGTATAATTCAGATACTCCATACCCTTCGTGACATGACCACTTCGATGTTACACAAAGTGACATGTCCATATCTAGGATTGCTAACTTCTCCGCCCCACTATTTACTTGGTGTTCTACTTAAGTCAAGAGATGTCTCACAGCTAAGGCCACACCAAATTAATTTTATGGATGACATCCGCGCGCGCATTGATTTTCGCCTGTTCTCAAAAAAAAAATCACGTCCTCGGAGGCTCTAGGCCTGGGTAGTCAGTCAGAAAAGCCAGCATGTGCCGGCTTGTCGTGTACGTCACTATGAACTGCCGCAAATTCAGAATGCCAGCTTTGTATTCCTGTGGTTTAGCAGCATTTTTATGTTTGGCCGGAATTTTTTTTTATTCGCCCGCGCGCACTAGTTTGGTGGTCTTCAGAGGATGTTAGCCATAAAATGAAGTAGGTGTGGCCTAAGCACTTCCTATCCCCCAGTGTCCCAATAAAAGTTAAAATAGAGTGTCTATCCTCAGTGATACCACACAGATCCAATAATTGACCGAACCAACAACTTGTACCGGTCGGTAAGTATGGTGATTTAGGCCACAGCAAGTAATTTTTATGGATGACATCAGCGCCCGCATTAATTTTCGCCTGATGTTGGAAAAAAAAGAAATTTTGTTGCCTTCTGACAGTGGTCACCATGCCAAAAATGTGCAAAGATGTCTGTTGACAAGCCGGAAGGTGGATGGCAGATAACTATAAAGAGAGGAGACAAGACAAGGCTCTGATTTAATGTTTTGTTTCTTACTTTGATGCAGTGATATGTGATGATGGCTGTGTATATGTGCTGTTCACACTGAATCAAAACCATTTGTACAATGATTGAGTCAAAATTTTAAAAGGTAGTAACCTTGTTTTTTTTCGTCCCGCCTTGTTTTTTTTCGCCCGCTCGCATTAGATTTTGGAGTCTGTGGAGGATGTCATCATAAAATTTACTTGCTGTGGCCTTAACTCTGCCGTGTAGTTTGGATACGTTTATGACTTTATGGGATAAAACCTTCTGTTATATTACTTGAGAGACGAAGTTATCGAAGTTCGAGACATTTACGTAGAATATACAGTACGACCGCCTGTCAGCGAATTTTAGGACATCGGTATTATATATACGAATATATAGCAGACAAACTATGTAATTATGTTTCAAAATGTTTCAAAAAGAGAGAAGAAAGGGCATCTAACAGTAGACGATAGGTAGTATATAGTATTGTTATAATGTATGAGTTCTAGCAATTAGCATTAGAATATAGCGTCCCAGTATGCAATACTCATGTTTTGCATACTGCATGTCCTCTTGTGCATTTAGCCCTTCTGGGCAAGAACATGCAATAAAGATTCATATCATATCATATCATATAATATCATATCATATCATTATATATAGGTAACGAGTTGAACAAAATATTTACTGCCATAGATTATTTCATTTTACAAAGCACCCATAAAAATATCCAGACAGGACAAAATATAGACATGCCAAATATATACAACGAGTTGCCTTCACATGCAATTTGTTTGGCCCTGATCGAAATCATTCCGGCTGACTGAACGAAACAACGAGTTTGTTTTTCAAGCGTTACGAAATTGAAGTTAAACATAGGTTGATCTGCGTCAATATGGAGTGTTGAGATCTTGACTGTTAAGAGCATCTCACAACTGTAAAAACAAAGAGATTCTCCCACAAGACGTAACGCTTACGTAGGTGTCTGTAGACGAACGTCATACGTTACCTGTACCTGCCAATGTTTAACTACACTTGCGTACGAGCTCCAATGGCCCGGGTGCCTCGCCATTGTTCTGCGGGGTCCAAACTTAGTTTTCTCCCTCGGGGCCTGTATGAAAATTAGCACATGTGCGTGTGAGAAAAGAGGGAGGTGGCTAGATAGTCCCCAGGTATGGGTCAGTGCGTTTGGATACACTCCGAATATGTCGCCATTTTGAGGAGGGCCTAATTAGGGGAAATTCGTAGCAAGATATCTTTGATTGAATCTTAGACTTGACCTTGGTGTCTCCAAGCTGACTCGCTCGACATCTGGTTGACAGACTAACGGCGGAACAACACCAGGATAAGGTGGGTTAGATTAGATAAGATTTAGATCAGATCAGACAGCTATGTCCTGTAAACAACATGCAATTAATGGCGTCCAAGCTAGTATTTACCGAAACCTCAGAGAGCACATGTCTATGAATCATACTGTAGCATAGTTGGCCTCAACCCTCTTCTATGTGGGAGCCTAACACCACGGCCACCTTACATGTAACTCTAGTGCCCTAATCCTTGATACAGAACGCAGTGCTTTAATACATAACACTAGTATCTGTATCTGTATCAGTATAGCCGGTATAACAGCCCTTCGGCGTAACACACCAGCTTCGCAGGCACGCGGCGAAGCGGCAGCTAGCTATATCACACCGAACGACTTGTTACACTCAATCTTTGCACATTTGATTGCAGGAGTTGTTTAAAGCTTTCTAGTGATGATGCCCTAACTGTGCTTGGTGGCAACGAGTTCCAGTCTACGATAGTTCTGGGGAAATACGAGTTTTTGAATACCTCAATTCTTGGTTTATAACTCTGATTTTTGAAGGCATGACTCTTTCTTGTTCTTTTCTGGGCTAGTATCAGATACTTAGTGGTTGGTACGTCCACCTGCCTATTAGTCATTTAGTAGACTAATATCAAGAATAGAACAAATAGGGACGAAATCTTGGTATTTGAAGGCAGGTAGACACAGAAACTCGCTAACTTTCTAAAGCATACATTTTCCCATATCGCCGCTCTACAACCACTTGTTTATCTGAGAAACCTACCAGTAAGATTTACTATTCCAGCTACGGCACGTAAAGTGTTTGGTAAGAAACGTCGTGACGAGGCATGATAAAACATGCAGTTTTCTTTTACACGAAATTTATCTCGTGGATGATTTCATTTAGAGCTTCGGTTTACGAAGTTTCCAAGGTAGACTAGGCAAAGTTAGAGGCTATTTTAATACCTGAATACAACCTAGTCTTTCCTCCTTACACGTTAGTTATAATGTACTGGTGGTATGTCGCATTACATCGACCTTAACCTTGATAAAAACATGAAGGAATACCGGACAGCCTCTATCTGCCTGTGTAGGTTAGGCCACAGCAAATAAATTTTATGGATGACATCCTCCACAGATTCCAGATCTAATGCGAGCGGGCGAAAAAAAACAAGGTGGGCCGAAAAAAAAACAAGGTTCTTACATTTTGAAATTTTGACTCAATCATTGTACAAATGGTTTTGATTCAATGGGAACATCACATATACACAGCCAACATCACATATCACTGCATCAAAGTAAGTAAGAAACAAAACATAAAATCAGAGCCTTGTCTTGTCTCCTCTCTTTATAGTTATCTGCCATCCACCTTCCGGCATGGCAACAGACATCTTGGCCTATTTTCGGCACTGTCAGAAGGCAACAAAATTTCTTTTTTTTCCAAAATCAGGCGAAAATTAATGCGCGCGATGATGTCATCCATAAAAATTACTTGCTGTGGCCTTAGTTTCCGTGTGTAAACAGAGCTAGAATGGCCCCCTGGTTGTAGTGACCTTGAGTTCACGGGTAGTTGCAGGCTTCCTTCATTAGGGTCAGTGCCTTGACCCGGTGCCCCGGCCCCATTCTGTCGCAATGCTCATGTTTGTCTTTACCTGATCTACAATACTTTCCTTGTCTTTCCAAAACATTAGGTTTATGTCTACAAACTTTTCCTAATCATCTGTTTCACCTATGCCCCCCGAAGGTCGGTAGTGAGAGCCTTTATACAAACATGCCACCCAGGTTTACATGTACCATATAACACCCCATTTTTAGGCCACTGTGCTTAACCTGGTTAAGACAATTTCCTCTAGGGTTCAGTGACTTATAGCCTCCATAGCATGCGAAAAACTGGGGGGGGGGTCTTCAGGGTCTTTGGGAGCTTTTATGTTCTATTTTCTGATTGCATATAGACAACATAGCCGGCCTGGTTGAATTACCCCCGTTTTTTTAGAACTGGGCTAATCAGAAAACAGCCGAAGACCACCAAACCCCCAGTTCTATAAGACTGCTACGGAGGCTAAGTGACTTACATGTTATATTCTATGCACGAGTTGGCCCCACGTCCTACTTCGACCCAGTTCCAGTTTATATTATTGGCGCACTGGACAGCTGTACTTGACCCCAAATAGCCCTTCTCGAAAAGAATAGAGGGGATTAAAGTTGAAGAGAACATCGATTTCTGAAACATATATGTAACACGTTACGTCAAATGCAATTCTTCTACGTACAAGTTTGTGTAAAAGTACATGTATAGTGAAGTTAAACCAAAAAGCAGCCATGTTTATATTGCAAGTTTTGTAGGAGAAAGAACGAAGTATAAACAAAGTAGTAGTTTGTATTGATATTTTTATATACAAACAAAGTAGTAGTTTGCATTGATATTTTTTATTTATAACGAATAAGTGAAGGGAATCATTCTGCATTTGCTTGCAAATGTTACCACTCTAGGTGTAGGCAGAGCATGTGATACTTGGCACCCTGTAGGTGGGTAACAATTGTGACAGTCAAACCCCTACAACGTTTCATATAAACAATTATTAGCAAGAATTTGTTTGTACGGCAGAGTAATAAATTAATAAACATGTGCTTCACTCAAGTTAACGTGATTTCATACGTCGTAAAACTGACATAGTAACAGACTACATTTATTTGCACACCCCGATTCATTTAAAAAATGGTACATTCCTATACCCAATACTCACACGATGCAATCCCCAAAGACAGAACACGATACCCTATCTCTGAACTGTGCCCTGGCTAGGCGTGGTACACTGTTTCTGTGCTCCCAGAGACAATATATCGGTTATTACTAAGGTCTGATTGAAAATCCAGGCTTGTATGCTTCAAGTTGGACAACAAAAACTGCACTGACTGTACCGTGTGTATCCCGCCATTTCCTGGACCTTTTTCTGTGCTGACTTCCTCTTCAGTTCTTGTTTGGGTGGACTGACTGAGACAGCGAAATTCGCATGTCATCTACTCACAACTGTGAAAGAATTTCCTTCCTTTGACCCCCGATGTTATGGGCACTGGATTTTCGTCATGGTAAGATATATTTCTTGATTTGTTTATTTGATGTGTTCAATGTATACAGACAAAACAATAGTATCTATATAGAATATCAGAGAATATTCCTTTATGTGCTAACGTTACATCGGTAGAAACTCGTGACAGATTGAAATCGTGACAGCCCAAAGTCTAAAACAGTATACGCTGTATGATATACAATATTATATTACCCAGCCCATGTACATGTACGGTAAGGAAATACAGATTAGTTATGTCAGTGATAGTGCTGATAGTGGTGTGTGGGGGTGGGGTGTGTGTTTTGATACTTGACGTAGCATGTTGTTCTGTTTCTCGTAGCATGGCCTTTTAATTCTACGGATTGGGTTGTATTCTTATTCTAGCTTCCCATTTTCTTTCTTTCTTCCTTTATAAACCCAAAATCATAAATTTCTGCCTTGCTTCTCGCTAGGTTTTAACGACACAAACTTGCTTTTAAAACCTCGAATTCACTTCCACAGTTGTTACATACCCAGTGGCCTTTGCCATGGCCACCAGCATGGGACCAACGTGCGGAAAAACTGTTCCACATGTATCACTACGCTTCTGGGTCTTTCTCTACTACTAGTATTCTCTGAATTTCAGGGCTCGAAATTCAATTTTCGGAATAGGTGCACTGGTGCACCCAACCTAAAAAAAATTAGGTGCACATAAAATTATTTGGGTGCACCATATAAAATGAAATAATTAGAATATCAGCAAAAACTAGTTATGTTTCATTTTTAAGCAAAATTAGTAGAATGATTTTATCATTTTTCTGACATCTGCTGTATACTACTACTCATTTTGACTTACTTAAACCTACAAAATTTTGAGTGCACAGCTCCAAATTTGGGTGCACTATGCTGCAGATGCACCCAGTATTTCGAGCCCTGCCTGGTTATACTTTTATCAGGTGACGCTATTGACAGTTTAACATTTTTGGAAAAAAAGGAGGATTATTTTGGTTTCAAATTTGTCTCATTTGTTTGAATTTACGCCGATCGGGACTGTAACGTTACTAGTAAAATTTAACGTTACCTTGGTTGTTTGTAGCTAGTCGTAAGTTTGAGCCCCCCCCCCCCTTCCTAAACCGTTCCAGATTTCATGTTGACACCTGATCGCTACTGTTTGGTCTGACCGTGTGTGAGCTTCAGTTCTAGGCCAAGGGCAATATCTGTGTTATCGATTATAATTTAATGTAATGTGAACTAAGAATAGAAACGGCCACGTTGTTTACCTCCTCTACCTCTACGTAGAATGGAACAATGTATAGAAGGAGGGGGGGCAAGGAATCAATTTTGTTTACTTTTATTTACTTTTCTATGAAAATATTGGCTTCGGATACTAACGTTACATTTTGTAATGGAAAAAGGTTGACCAAGGTAAGGCAACTGAAGAATTATTTCAAAAAAAGTCATATGTTGATGTTTTATGAGTCTGAGTTTCGTTGTTGTTTGTTTTGTTAGTAAAGGTTTAAATAGAGGGTCAGGCTTGTGCGACCTCACGTGTACATGTTTATCTCTGTAAGGTGTCGACATGTGTCCAACTTCCTACTCTAGTGTTTTGACGTGGGACCAGTAATCTTTAGTCCTTACATGTGTCTGTCTGCCTTTTCGTAATTGACCCTAGACGAGTGGTGTAATAGTTGACGTGCAGAGCGAAATTAGGTTTTGCCCGTTCTAACTACGGCTGTCTGCCCTGCATTTGACCCTATCGTACACCATACCATATTTGCCACATTTCCTATTGGATGAAGGTTCGGTTTAATTTTTCAGCCAGCGTTCTTTCACAGACAATCCCAGTTTTTTTTAGTTCACTAGGACGACAAAAGTAACGTGCGTAGACCAGTGGTCAGCGACCCTGCCTCTAGACCAAGTGGTTGGGAGTTCGAATCCCGGCTCACCCGCAATGCACGCTACTGGAAAGGGTCGCAGTCCCTAGGACGGGACGTTAAGCTGTGGTCCACTGTTCATTGTGCTTGTCGAAAAGAGCTAGTGGCTTTTCCCGGTACAATGAACCTGTAAATACTGTGCATAGCGTCTGTCTTCTCTGTCAGAACCAGTGGAAGATATTAGCTCTCCCGTGAGCTAAAACTGGATCAAGATCACGTTCAGATCACAACGTGCACATGGTTCTTTCGTATGCAGCAAACATGAATAGTTGACTGGCGTGCAAAGCAAAATTAGGCTTAGTCCAGTCTTCTGCCCTGCATTAGACCTATCGTATAGCCTTCATAGCATGCAGAAAACTGGGGGGTTTGGGGGTCTTCAGGGTCTTTGGGAGCTTTTATTTGCTATTTCCTGATTGCATATAGACAACATATAGACAACATAGCCGGCCTGGTTGAAAACCCATTTTAGAACTGGGCTAATCAGAAAACGACCGAAGACCACCAAACCCCCAGTTCTATAAGGCTGCTACGGAGGCTACCTATCGTACACCACACACCACAGACACGTATGTATAAAACAGGTCTTGAAATTTATCGGCATTTCCTCAACCATGAAACGTATTCTAGGTTTCCAAACGATAACCTTTTCCCCTCTGTTACCCAGTAATAGATCACCCTCCCTCATACTCAGTAAGGCCAGACAGTTCAAGTGATAATCCTCTAACAGATTCATGCAAAGTTACAGTAATTGTTTCACGTTCCGAACAGTGAAAGCCATTAAAAGTATAATAAATGGTTGCTGGGTGATGAATATCACATCCACACTGTAAAAGTGTAATGCATGAACGCGGCAAAGACATTAAATGTCTCTGTAACTTTTTATCGCTGCATACGTTACATGTATATCGTTACAGTGCCAGGTCCATAGGTCACAATACAGACGATACAACAGAAAGTCTAGTCTAAACTTAGCAAGGTCAAATTATCTTGGCGTTGTGGACAACATGTCATGTAGCCTGGTATCCAGTCTGATCGTGATTGGGGGTATTGGGGTGTTCAGGCAGGTTGTGTCTTCGGGGGCTCTAAGAGCTTCCCCCGCCCAGTGCAACAGACCGTCCCGGTAGGAGTGTTACGCTAATCAGAGACAGTATGCTTGGGGATTGGTTTCCCCCCAACACGATATGTTCGTGGAGGGCTAATTAATCTCTCGTGAAATACACACCGGGAAACCTATGTGAGGCGGGCGGGCCAGAGCTCTTACGGCCCCGACCACGATCAGACTGGATACCAGGCTGGCTACATGTCATGGATACCTCGAATCTTACGCGAGAGAGTGAAAAAAAAATTAAGGAACAGGATTAGTATAATTAGCAATTAGCTATAGAAAAGAATGCAAGAATTTTCAAAATGAATATATTCATAAATCAGTGTTAGAAATACCCATCAGGCATGTTCAATATTTCAGAAGAGAAATTATGCAACCTGCAATTTTGCAGACTAAAAAAATCAAGCTATGGGTTGATTGGTGTTTACCACTGACTCTATAACATGCAAGGAATTTTGCATGTGTTTTTCAAATTGCAACATGCAGTTGTATATATGCCATGGGTTTAGATCCGGACTTTAAGTGTGTATTTGCAGAAATTATTTCTGAATTGCAGAAAATAATGAGATTCTGCAATATTGCAGAACACTGCAAAAACGTATTTCTACCACTGTAAATATTATAGGAAGTGTCGATTGGGCACTGAAATGGCGTAGCACAGCCTCTGCTAGGCTTGCAAACTGCACTCCTCTAGCGGACTAACTCCCCCGGCATGTTATCCGTCTATTTGGCCAATTTCTACTCTTTCTAGCCACCTTTGAAGCCTGGTAGAGGCTAGCGTAGCAAATGATATATTCTATTCGTTTCTAAAGACACGGGACACTACGAAAGACAAATATAGCTACATAAAAGTTGTTTTCAGTCCGTACTGCATATCTCACACACATGACACTGACTTCTCAATTCCTGGCACGTCTTACTGAGGTAAGACTACGAGTATAAGCACTTGTGAGTATCTTCAACATCCCTCAAAAGGAAAGAGTCATCCAAACATGTCACTATTGTGTTGGTAACGCATGTAGACATGATCCGTACAGTGCTAGGCTTCGTTAGCAATGTGTACAGAGTATACAGTGCAATTTTGCGGAATACAATTTTACGGAATACAGTACAATTTTACGGAATACAGTGAAAGTTTAGTATACAGTGAAATTTTACGGAATACAGTACAATATATATTAGTATACAGTGCAATTTCACCAAATTTCACTGGTAAAATTGCCCTGTATAATAATACGATTGCACTGTATTCCGTAAAATTGCACTGTATACTAATACAATTGTACTGTATTCCGTAAAATTGCACTGTATATATATACTAATACAATTGTACTGTATTCCGTAAAATTGCACTGTATATATATACTAATACAATTGTACTGTATTCCGTAAAATTGCGCTGTATTCCATAAAATTGCACTGTATACTCTGGCACCCCTGGTGCAGAAGTCTCGGTCGTTCTGGCACGTACCTGGGCACGTACAGTGGGGTTTATTTTTAACCCGTGACCTTAGTGACCCCCGTAACGCTTGACTCCACCCCAGACGTCAATCAAACACAATAGGCGGCTTACCTGTGGATCAGGGGTGAATGGGAGGTGGAGGCTAAACGTTCCGACATTATTACTCAACTGTTGACGAATTTGTCCTGTACCTAGCTCCCCCGTAATCTTGTTGACTTACGAGATTATGATCATGTTTAGACGAGGGGTTGTATAAAAGTTTGACAGTATAATGTTTAAGACACACTTATGTTTGCCTGTGTATGGTTCAAATCCGTATCTTAGGCCACAGCAAGAAAATTTTATGGATGACATCCTCCGGAAACTCCAAATCTAATGCGAGTGGGCGAAAAAAAAACAAGGCGGCCGAAAAAAACAAGATTCCTACATTTTAAAATTTTGACTCAGTCATTATACAAATGGTTTTGATTCAGTAGGAACATCACATATACAGCCAGCATTACATATCACAGCACCAAAGTAAGAAACAAAACATTAAA